GGGATCCGAACCCTCGGACGGGAGCGCCGCCGCGCTTCCCAAGCGGCGCACTATCCAGTGTGCCACCGGGCCGGCCCTGTTTCCATTTTTTTGTGTCTCTTACAAACAATGTCACGAGCGCCGCCGCGCTTCCCAAGCGGCGCACTATCCAGTGCGCCACCGGGCCGGCCCTGTTTCCATTTTTTTGTGTCTCTTACAAACAATGTCACAGCAAACAAGCACATCATGTATCTTTCTGTAATGGTGTTAGTGTTTTTCACAGGCTGATTTGAGAGTCTAATAAAGGTAATGCACGTAGAAGTGATTTGTGACTATGAAAGTATAAGAGAGTATTCATTATTGCCAATATCCTGCATTGCATTCAAAAAGGAGGTCAAGTTTTAGAAACTGAGAAAGTCAGTGATCAAAATAAGGACCTCTTTCATTAACTTTTGAAAAACCATCTCTAACACAGTGGTTTACAACCTTCACTGTGCATCCAGATCACCTAGGTGATTTTAAAGCACAGCTATGCCTGCCCACCCTCCCCTCCAATTCTGATGTAATTGACTTGGGGTGGGAACTGGAACTGGTTTTTGTTAAATGCTTTCCAGCTAGAGGGCAGCTGGAGTTGAGAACCAGTGGAAACTAATCAATAGAATCAATATCCCATCAATGTCCACTGAGACGAATGGTACTTTGAATCTGCAAATACCCTGAACATCCCGAGTCAGTGAAACTTCTCATAGAGGGAGCACGCGTTATTGCTGCTCTTGAAATGTCCTATTTGCTTGTTGCTTTTTCACTGTGAGTGTTGCCAGTAGAGGCAGATGGTTGTACAGCAGCTACTTTGCTGTCAGAAGGGCAGCCACAGGCAGGGGCTGAAGAATGCTCAGCCTGTGCAGGGCTCCCTCAGGCCTGTGCTTGTCAGTCCCCTCTCTCTCGTCCCCCCATGCAACCAGGACTTTTTGCAGGTGGAGAAGTGTGGCCAGGTGGAAGAACCAGGGGCTGTGGAGTTCTCACAGACTCAACACACCTTCTTTCCAGTGCTGAGTAAGCTTCTTAATGAGAACGAAACACATCCTGCCATCTGCTAAGTTCTTCCCACCGGCTCCAGGTGACCTACAAAACCACCTGGGGATGTGCCAGTGCTTCAAGACATACCCCCAAATTGCAGCATGTTCTGAACACTAGAGCAGGGAAGTGAAGGCAATCCAGTGGAGAGCACCTTCTCTCCAACTTGCAAGACAGAAAAAGGCAGGGGGATGTTTCCTGGGTCACGGGTGGCCCTATAAGGTGGGATTCTGTAAGGGACTGGGGCTGCGAGAAGGGGGATGGTGAGTATAGGGCTGAGGCTATGTTCTGCTTTAAGTTAACACATTTAGAATTTTGACCTGAAGTCTTGCCTCCTCTTTGTTCCCAGATGAGTTGGCTAGGATTCTGATACTATGAGCTTCGGTTTCCTTTAGGAGTTGATTGATGGAATGCCTGCTGTGTTAGGTTGAAACTATGAAATTGACCTTTAGATCTACGACAATGATGATTTTATAGGCTATACAGCATTTTCTGTCCGTTTACCATCCCCAATCAGATGTCGATAAGATGACATAGTGCTTTGCTGCTCAATGTGTGGTCTAGGGAAAAGCAGCAGCCACAGCATTTGGAAGCTTATTAGAAATGCAGAATTTGGAGTCTGACCCTGGGCCTCCTGAATCAAGATGTTCATTTTTACCACATTCCCAGGGATTCGAACACACATTAAAGTTTGAGAAGCACTGGTTTACCAGATACTCTGGGCTGGTTAGCAGAGCCCTATTTTGTCTGGCTGTTGCCCTCCTCTCCATTTTAGTTTTGCTGGGTTAAGGGGTATGTGCATCGTGTATGCTGGAAGATAGGTTGAGTCCAGATCATAGGAGGCCTGGAATATCAGCTGAGAAAGGGCTTTGAGCAGGGGAATGAGATCATCAGCAAGGAGAAACTGGAGGCGGACCAGGTGTAATATCAGGGGGTGGCCATTGAGGCAGAGATGCTCTCCATAGGACTTTACAGTTTGTAGAAGGTGTATGTGTGTGTGGTGAGGAGGCACCAAGAGATTTCCCAGGCCATAGAACAGTCAAAAGCACCAGAAGAGCCCAGGAGACAGCTGGGCAGTGGCCGGGCTTTTTGTTTTCATCTGTCAGAACACAGTTTAGGCATCAAAGAGACAAGGGAAAGATAACCTGGGGCCTGCACCAGTTCATGCACCAGCAGTAGTGTGTTCCTTCCACCTACCCCCAGGTCTCTGTCACTGGCTCTTACAGTCCCTGCAGCTGTTGTCTTTGTTCCTCCCAGCCAGGCACAGTGGTGCCAACCCAGTATCCACTAACCTCTTACAACATGCCCAGGTGTGGGCAGGTCTGGGGAAGAGGGTTCTCTGCTTGTTCTGCCATGAAACTGGGCTTGGGGAGCAGCAATGTGAAATCACATTTTCCTAGAGAGGGAGTATCAGATTGGCAGGTGGGCTCTAAAAGTGATGCCTGTGGATTACTTCTCACTATTTATAGGTGACACTTTTAAATCCAGACCTTACAAAGACAGAACTTTGAATAACTTGAATGGGCTCTAAGCTGTAGTTTAACTGAGCCCAAACTGTGGGGCTTACTAGAGGTAATCAGAGTGTCTAACACGAACAAGGAGTCAGTAAGTGATTGCAGCCTTCTAAGCAGGTGTGCGAGGCAATGAAGACTACAGGCACAGTGTTAAAACTGCTTACAGGAGCAAACTCTTCAGGGGCTGATGATGGCATGTTAATTAAACACCCAGTTTAGCTATTTATTAAAGAGATGCATCAAGGGCTTCTGCTAGCCTAGTTGAAATTACCATGTGAAAGAGCTAAATCTGGATTACTGGAAATTATTTTATAATCTTGATCTTTTATTAGTTTTTAATGGGTGTCCTCC